ATTTTTTGTGTTTCAGCAAGTTCTACATGTACATAAATAGCCAAAACGCAAAAGCTTGCAAATTCATGACTAATTCACTTTTCAAGAAGAAAAACTAGCGTTTATATTTGAAGATGATGCTTAGGTCTTTCTTTGGGAAGATGGAAAAGGGTGTTTCACTCTTTGTACACAGAAGAGCCCCACTGAGATACTACAGTGAAGCCACAAGTGTGGTGTCAGATGATGTCAGGGAAGGATATTTTTCTGTTCTTGCAACCAAGGGTGGAGAATCCAAAAGGTTCATTGTTGGCTTACATTACTTCAATGATCCTGCTTTCTTGGGACTACTGGATCAAGCTCAGGAAGAATTTGGTTTCAGGCAAAAGGGAGCTCTTGCAATCCCTTGTCAGCCTCAAGAATTACAGAAGATTCTAGATGGTTGCATGGTGTAAGTAAAGAAGTCGTCAAAGGTGCAAGAAGGGGTGACTCATGAATCATGATACCATTATGTAATGATGTTCATATCTCTCTATGATGGACAATAATCAAAGGAGTTTAAATTGTTGTAAATTAAGGGGTATTGCAAAACAGAACACGTGTTCTCACACGTTGCAGAAAACCGTTTCAAAGAACGTGTTCTCACACATTGCAGAAGACCGTTTCAGAGAACGTGTTCTCATACACGTTGCAGAAGACTATTTTAGAGAACATTGCAGAAAACTGTTTTAGTGAACGTTACAGAGAACGTTACAAGGAACGTTACAAACTCACTACCAAGTCTTCCATAACTGTTACAGACTTTCTCATAAATAGAGACAACTTCACACTCTTCAGAACACACCTCTCTCATCTTCTCTTGTCTGATCTTCTTTCTGTTTCTGGGTTAATTTACTCTTTTGAGAGTTTCTTGCTAGTTTCTGAGATCCTCGGATATTCCGAGAAGTTCTTGTTGTATCCTGGAGGACTTGCGCAATACATCGCGGATAAGTACTTAAGGGCAGTGATTATACACGCCTCAGGAATAAAGTTTGTTCATGTCTCTGTCAGCTTTTACAAAGTATACTTAGGATTTCTCTATTCGAGTTTTGTTAGCTCTAGCAGCTATCCATAAACTAGTTATACACCAAATGGATGTTAAGACAGCCTTTTTGAATGATGAATGAGAGGAGGAAATTTATATGACTCAACCTGAAGGGTGTGTTGTTCCAAGTCAAGAGAATAAAGTGTGTAGACTTTTAAAATCCTTATATGGATTAAAACAAGCACCAAAACAATAGCATGAAAAACTTGATAGTGTTCTACTTTGTAATGACTTTTCAACTAATGATGTTGATAAATGTGTGTACTCTAAATTTGAGAGTGGTGAATGTGTCTTTATATGTTTATATGTAGATGATATGCTAATATTTGGTACATGCATTGACATTGTCTCCAGAACTAAGTTGTTTCTGGGATCTAAATTTGAAATGAAAGATATGGGTGAAGCCAATGTGATTTTGGGTGTTAAAATAATAAGGAAGGGCGGTAGTATTTTTCTATCCCAATAAGAACAATATATTGAGAAACTTCTTAGGAAGTTTGGGAGTTATAACGTCAAACCAGTGAATACCCCTTATGATGCTAACTCTAAGTTAAAGAAAAATAAAGGAGACTCAATCTCTCAACCTCAATATGCCCAGATAATTGGGAGCTTACTGTATTTAATGAGCTTTTCTAAACATGACATTGCTTATGCAGTAGGTAGATTTAGTAGGTACACTCAATGTCCTAATCAAGAACATTGGAATGCACTTAAAAGACTTATGAGATACTTAAGAGGTTCAATGGATTATGTCATTGAATATAGTGGATTTCCTGCTGTACTAGAAGGGTACAGTGATGCTAACTGGATCTCTGATTCAGATGAGACAAAATCCACTAGTGACTATATATTCACACTCAGGGGTGGTGCGATTACATGGAAATCAGTCAGGCAAACAATTATTGCAAGATCAACAATGGAATCTGAATCTGTTGCTCTCGAAATGGCTGGTAGTGAAGCTGAGTGGTTGAAAAACTTCTTAGTAAACATTCTAATTAGGAATGAAACTGATCCCGTCGGTATCAATACACTGTGATTGTCAATCGGAAATAGCTATAGTAAAAAAAAGAACTACAATGGAAAAAACAGACATATACAGTTGAGACATAATTTAGTGAAGCAGCTGCTAAAGAATGGAACAATTTCCATTGAGTATGTGAAGTCAGAACGGAATCTAGTAGATCCTCTGACAAAACCCTTAGTGAGAAAAATGATTTTAGAAACATCGAGGGGAATGAGACTTAAGCAACTTGCAAATAAACAGGTGATGGTAACTCAACCTTTGTGATTGGAGATCCCATGAATAAGGTTCATATCAGTAAAAACAAGTCACTTGTTAGTCCTGCTAGCACTAAAATTAATTAAAATCAATTATGTTCATTTCTATGGTATATATGTGAAAGTGTTAGATACTGCATCATTGAGAGGTTAAACTTTGTAATTAAAATTCTATGTGGTGTACGAATTTTAGTCTAAACAAAGTTTTTAAATGATTTCATATTTCTTAAGGGTGATGTATGATTTGCAGCATACGCTTGATGAAGTCACCTATATGAGTGTCGAGTGAGGCCACTTGTATGAGATCTTTGCAAGATTTCTAGAGCACTCATGAATATCGGGCACGCGCATGGCCTAGTAAGCACAACACAACGATAACAACAAGAATTGTGGGGGTGTATTGTGATTATTAAAACCGCTAACACACATTAAGTGTTTTGGTTCATATAGCTTGCTACACCAACTACACTGTGTGTTAAGTTTTTTAGTCTAAGACTGGTTCATATAGCTTGATATACCAGCTTTGATGCATTACATCTTATATGAGACCCAAGATTTTCTTCTTTTATTTCTTTTATCCCCTTTTGTTTTGCAATATGTGGGGGATTGTTGTAAATTAAGGGGTATTGCAAAATAGAGCACGTGTTCTCACACGATGCAAAAAACCGTTTCAGAGCACGTATTCTCACACGTTGCAGAAGACTGTATCAAAGAACGTGTTATCACACGTTGCAGAAGACTATTTCAGAGAACGTTGCATAAGACCGTTTCAGAGAACGGGTTCTCACACACGTTGCAGAAGACTATTTCAGAGAAGACTGTTTCAGAGAACGTCACAGAGAACGTTACAGAGAACGTCACAAAGAACGTTACAGGAAACGTTACAAACCCACTACCAAGTCTTCCATAACTGTTACAGACTTTCTCTTATAAATAGAGACAACTTCACACTCTTCATAATACACCTCTCTCATCTTCTCTTCTCTTATCTTCTTGTTGTGTTCTTGGGTTAATTTACTCTTTTGAGAGTTTCTTGCTAGTTTCTAAGATCCTCGGATATTCCGAGAAGTTCCTGTTGTATTCTGGGGACTTACGCAATACATCGCGGATAAGTCCTTAAGGACAGTGATTATACACGTCTCAGGAATAAAGTTTGCTCGTGTCTCTATCAGCTTTTACAACAATTTCCAAGTTAGAATTAATTGAGCCTTTTGTTACACTTGAAGGTGAATATATGCAGATGATTCAATATATGCTGTAAGTTAATTAACTACCAATTCTTGCAATGAAAAAAAAAATAATTAAGAAATTGCAAACTATTTTCATTTTTTAGTTGTAACTTGCTTCGAAATCTGTGTTTCCAAGGGGTTCAAATGTATCAAAGACAAAGCCCTACTGAGCAGAAGTGTCATTCTCACTAGTGAAAAATAGAGATTTAACAATGAGTTTGTACATCGTCAAATAACTGTTTGAGAAAGTTTCTATTTAAAAAATTAACTTTTTTCAAGCGATATTTTTTCATACAAAAGATCAAACTTGTGTTACTGCATTCAAAAGAATATTATTTGTTATTCATTACACTTTTTTTCTTATCTCGCCAAACATGAGAATTGTCTCCATTAAGAGAAGGTTTGACCCCAAGACGAACAAGTTCCAACACAAATTCTATAAATTTAATAGAGTAAAATATGTCTTTTTATTTTTTTAATATATTTTACAGTTAATACGAATCTCCATCATAAAACCTTATCACTTTTAATGGAATCTTCTTAAATACAATTTTTTCCACTTACATAACCTTACGTGAAGAGACCGAGTTCAGTTCTCATGTACGGTTCAACTTAATTAAGATCCAAAAAGAATTTACTCTTAAATTTTACTAATTTTAAAATATATTAGATTTAATCCTCTAAATCTAATGTATGCATTTTAAATTTAGAGACCAAAATTTTGAAGACAATAAAACTGAATATTTCACATGAATATATATATATATATATATATATATATATATATATATATATATATATATATATTCACAACCATTTTAAAAACACAATATGTTAACACTTCTTTTTATTAATATAATAATAATTTAAATTTCTATATTTTTTATTATTATATTATTAAAGGATTGATATTAAAAAAAATGAGTTATTTGAATATTAATACTCTGACAAAAACGTACAACTCAAATTATTCAACGTTAATATATGGATCTCACTCACAACTTAATATAAGTTTAAGCATGGACACCTTCCAACCACTAATTAGGAAAACGAAATCCAGCAACTTCCTTTAAATCTTAAAATTTAAATTTGGATCTTCACTTGATTCAATCTCATAAAAACAAATTTATAAGATCAGGGTTATTCTCCCCTTAAACATTACTTTTCATCATATAACAAAACAAGCTTGTAACATTTACTTTCAGGACACACACAACACAGAGAAGCTTCATAAGAGACAATATGCTGATGTCAATCTCATCCTCTCCTACTTATACAAAATACAGTTCATGACTCCACATGGATTAAGAATGAATGAAATACATAAGATACTTAAAACACAGCATAATATACTTGTAACATGAAATAGATGATCCTCAATCATTTCTATACAGTACACCTATCACGGGACAAAATGGTATTAATCAGCTAAATTAATTCACCTCAGAACAATTATTAGGCCCAACTGGTTCTCTCAGGCAATTAGAAATTGCCATTACCGCTGCTTCAATAGATGCATCTTCCCCCTGTTTCATTTGGTGTTAAGTTAAACCATTAACCAAGCAAATAAAGAATAGCTAATAAAGAATCAACCTTTTCTTTCCAATAGAAAATGTTCCCATATTTCCCAGCCAAGCGACTCCAAAAACTACGTGGGATGTCCAAATCAACCGAAGCACCAACGTTGAAATTCAATATATTACCTGATCAACAAAACCTCTTCGTATGTTACCTCTACTGGTATATGATTAACTAAGAGAGAAAAGAGAGAAGGCAGAAAAAAAGTAACAAAGAAAAGTGTGACGGATCCTTTACCAAATGTGGGATCGGCAACAAAGACAACTGTTCTGTCATCTACCTGCCAGAAATCTTTGACAGCCAAACCTGCACAGTTCATAAGTTTCAGCTTTCAAGTTTCAAAAATAATAGTCTTAACCATTAATTTCAATATCAGCCTGTGAATTACGTGAGATCCATATTTTGCTAAATTGTGCAGTGACCATAGTCAAAAACCTGGCGTATCAGGATAGTTCTGGGCCAAAACCCTTAACTTGAATCCGGTATCTGCTTCAAGAGCAGCAATCTCTGCTGCTAGTCTTTTCTCCTGCAGAATAATCATTAATTGAACATCATTAACATTCCTGCTTCCTTTTCCTCAACTCACAAACACAGCAATTCAGTTTCCTTTTGAATAGGAAATACAAGAAGCAGCATCATGCTATTGGTACCTTAGAAGAAGCTTTTGATTTCAGAAAAAGTTTCTTGTTTTCAACTGTCGCTTTTATTTTTAATAAAAGTTGTCGTTTAATAAATTTTGTAACTAAAATAAGAATTTAATTAAAATGGCATCTAATTCCAAATTGTTATGTTCCATTATTTTATTGATTTATATAATAACCAATTTAAAAATCATGTCTGAAATAGCTTGTAAATTGTTTATAGTGTTACATTCTTGAAATTTAAAGTCTTAAAATAAAGAATAAACAGAATACAATAGCCATACAGTTTAAATGTAAAAGACTATTAAAGTACTTGTTAAAGAAGTTGACAAATTAGGATTAAAATGAAATGAATTTCTTCCAAAAACCAAAATTAGTTTATAAAAAAATTATATATAAAAATTTATCATCGTACAAATTAGTTTATTAATAAACTAATTTTAACAAACACATCTCATTTAAAGTACAATGTAAAAGACTTCTACAATGTACTAGTTAGATAAATAAAAATTAGAAAATGTTTACTCAAACCAGTGAAACACAAATTTTATTATATGCAAAAAGATTGATTTCAATTCCTGAGCATAAAAATGCACTGTAACACCACACCTGTCCATCAGAGAGGAACCCAGCAACATCAATGACAGTGCTAAACTGTTTGGGGAGCAACTCCGGCTTGTTCACACCAACTTTTGCAGCCTCCGCCACCCCAATTCCTACAAATTCTAAGCTTCAATTTTCGCATTGCAGCATTAGAAAAAGGAAAAAGAGGGATAGGAAATTACCTCCGAATAATAACCCAATTGAGAGGGCTCCAGAGAGAGCAAAATTAAGAGGTTTGAAGTGCCACGGGGTGGACTTAAAAGTGCCGTGTGAAGGGACGTGATACGACAGCGTCTTGGTTTGTAATGTCCGAACGGGAAGCGAGGGAGTTGGGGAAGTGAGAGATGAAGATAAAGATGATAACAATGGAATGTGAAGAAGATATTGAGAATGCGCCATCATCTTCCTTCTCTCGAAACGCCCTTGTTGTTTGTCAGTTGTTATGGATACTTTTTAAAGGTTTTGTTTGGCTCATTACTATTATCAATTTGGGCTTTTTTCTTCTGGCACCCCATACTTTCTTCACGACCCCATATCCATCTCAAAAGTAATATAGTCCTGATAATAAGTTTCGAATTCACTTTATTTTAAATTTCAAAAAAATTTCAGAATGACATTTTCATAAGTTTTTCAGAAATATTTAAGAATAAAATTTTCAAAAACATTCCAGAAATATTTAAGAATGATATTTTCAAAAGTTTTCTGGAAAAATTGCAAAATCAGTTTTTTAGAAATATTTTAGAAAACTAATTCTTAAACATTTCTAAGAAACTTCTAGAAAGTTTTTAGAAAGATCATTCTAACATACTTTCAGAAATCTCCAACAAGAAAAAAAATCAAGAACTTAAATCATACTCATGAAAAATTATTTTCAAATTTAGCTTTCTAAAAACTTTTCGGACTAATCATTCTTAAATAGTGAAATTATATATAGAATTTTCTCGGAACTTAAAAATTTATATATTTTCAAATTCATTTATCTGATATTTTCTGAATTTTTAAATCCAAAATACTCTGTAATATGCTTTCCGATCACTTGTTCCATTAAATTAAGAATACTATTATCTATTCAAATAAGTATAAGAGTGTGGAGAAAAAAAAAGTATGAAAGTACAGAAAGAATGTGCCATCAATTTGGATTGTGCTGCAAAAGAGACAAGGTTTTATTAGGCCCATTACTGTTGGTAACTTCGGTTTGTGTATTGTTCTCTGAGAATAGTGTCAATAAAAAATATGTGAATTTTTTTTTTCATTTTAATTTTGTTGCTCTAGGAGTTTGAAGAACTTTTTTGAACTGATAGTGAACCATAGTTTTACCTATTGTTATTGTAAGTAAAATTTTATTGTAATGATGCAACCACTTTTTTGGTTAATCATTTTATATAAAAAATAAAATAAAAATAGTTTCATGCCTCTTGTGTAAAATTTGAAGTTGTAGGTATAATAATTGTTAGTGGAAAATCGAGAAAAGTGATCGAAAAACGAAGGAAAGAAAAAATCGAGAAACATGTGATTGATTGATGAATCGAAAAGATGGATGAAAAATCATTCAATGTCTAATTAGAAGTGCGTGACACATAAAATCGAGAGTTAGAATCGAGAATCGAATGAATAATAGTTAAAGGTCTATTTGTTGAATAAAACCAAGAAATTAGAAGTATATGACGTTAAGGTTAAGGGAAATCGAAAGCAAATTCAAAGTTCTCGAGATTTTAAAATCGAAATTGAGGGGAAGGCTAACCTGCGTAAATATCGAAATCTTGGCCAGATCATAAAGAGAAGAATAGTTAAACGCGCACATAGGAAGCAGTTTCTAAATCGTGGCAGAAGTCGAAGATCATGGGAACGTGGGTGCAGCTTTGACACCACGAAGAAGAAACCGCAACGTGCACGAAGAACGTGGTAGCAGTTTCGTTAATCGCTCCTAAGAGGCTACTTGAAAGATGATCTATAAATAGAGCGAAAGATGAAAAGGGGAAGGGGTGGAAAATTGGCAGAGAAGAACAGAAACACTAGTGAGGAGTCTACCGGAGAACGACGAACATCATGAAGTTTTCGGCGATCTGGATTTCCATGTTCATTGATTACCTTTACCGCTTTCTTTATTTTCCCGGTAATTTACTTTGATGCAGCTTTATGTTTAGTAACTTTAAGTTTCGTATTTTCGATTCCTTGTCATTTCTCTTTAATGAAAGTTAAGTTTCGCTTTTAAATTCCTTGTCATTTATATTAACGCAATTTCGATTTCCTACTATTTACATTTCCGAGATTTCGATCACTTGTCATTTACTTGTTTGTGCAATTTCGATTTCCGTTGTCTATTTTTCTCGCAAAGTTAGATTTTTATTTACAATCCTGCAATTTTCGGTTCCTTGCAAGTTACCTTTAATGCAAATTTTAAGGTTTCTGCACTTTACATTTTCTCGCAATTTAATATTTCTTCGCAGCTTTACATTCTATGACCGTTTTTCGATTTATCACTTTACTCGTTTTCCTTATTTCGAGTACTTCAAATACAAAATACCAAAAATAGTGCTTTCGATTATTAATCTTAGTATTTTCTATACAGTGGTACTTTCGATTCTCATACGCATTTCGATTGAAATTCAGTTGCTAGCCTAAGTATAAAGAACCTATGTGGTTGAGTTTTGGTTAGAATCAAAGCCTCTTAAGAATCAAAATTCCACCAGAAACAAATTGGCGCGCCAGGTAGGGGACATTTGTGTCGAAAAACACAAAATTGTTTAGTTCAAAAGTGTATGAGATTAAGGAGTGGGCGAGTTATAAGAATGAGTCAAAACCCACCAAATAACCAGAGTAACAGTGAGGGTCTAAATGGTTCACATCCACCAAACACTGGGGGGCAAGGTCTTAATGGAAATATGCCTGTAATATCGACGACTGGGAGTATGTCGATACCTGTGGGTAATGAACAAAGTTCAGGCACATTAGCAAACACTCAAGTAGGATCTAGTACTGTGATGGGGAACCCCATAACAACATATGCAGGACCGTATATGAGTGTACGACCACCTGGTTTTTCACCTAATAATATGAATGGGGTTGGTACCTCTTCGATACAACGAAACTCGAGATTTAACCTAGGAATGCCTCAGAACTTAGGTACCTTTCAAACTTTAGGTATGTCGCAAAATTTTGGAGTCTCTCTAAATTTAGGGGCGTCTCAAAATTTAGTAACCCCCTAGAGTTCAGGGAGTGGGCAGAATTTAGGTACACAACAGATACCTTCAAATCTAGATCACAGAGCAAATCTGGATCATGGGAGAAACGCATTCGATAGAGATTATCATCGATCCAATTTTGAGACTATTGAAAACACTAGTACTGGGAACTCCAGTAACTCATTAGGAGTATTTAGACAACAAATGGATGAGAGCAATTTTGAGATGGTGAATATGTTATCACAACAGTTGACTACTGTCCTCAATCCATTAGTTCAAAACACTACTGCTAGTTTTGAGATATTAGCAGACCAAATGTCACGTATCGGGGATGCATTGGCTATACCTCGACAAACAAGAGTGGAAAATCATGCCAATCGGAACATTAACCAAAATGCTAATATCAATCCCCCGCATCCGCTGAGGAGAAATTGAAACAATGATCAACATCAAGCATATGGGAAATGAATATCAACATGTGAGGAATGATATTTATGGGAATCGAATGAGGGATTTCAAAATATGTACAATAGAAATAATATGCAAGTATAATCACATGTTAGGACAAAGGATGAATTCCCAAGGAATGGATTTAAGACCACCCAATCAAACGTACTTTGTTTCTCCTTTTCCAAATGCTATTCTCGAGACATAATTACCTCGAGGATACAAAGTACCTAAATTCACCAAATTTGCTCGGAGAAATTGGTGAATCCACTATGAGCACGTGGCTCGATATCGATCGAATGTGGGGATCTAGCGATGAGTGAAGAATTAAAAATGAAATATTTTCCTAGTTCATTGACTAAAAATGCTTTCACTTGGTTTACTTCATTGCCACCCAATTCGATATATAATTGGTTGCAACTGGAAAGAAATTTTCATGAGCAATTCTTTAGAGGAGAGACTCAAGTAAGTCTCATCGATTTAATGAACATAAAGAGATACAATCATGAAAGCATAGATGATTATTTGAATAGATTTAGACAAATGAAGTCGAGATGTTTTACTCAAATTCCTGAATATGAATTAGTCAGGATGACCTCTGCAGGTTTATAATTTTCGATTAGGAAAAAGCTAGTTAATTTACCGTTGAATGACATGGCTCAATTAGCTGATAAAGTGAGAAGAGTAGAACAAATTGAATATGAAAAACAAAGGTATAAGAAATTTGAGAAACCCATGAAAAAAGAAAGAGTAGCATATATAAATGATGTGTATGAGACAGATCCCGAGACAGAAATTGAGATTGAAGAAGCTATCGATGAGAAAGTAAATATAGCAGAGCTCAAAGTAGGAGCTCCATACATTTGTAAATTACTACAGAAAAATGAAGTAAAAGACAAGATGGCAAATCGAACGTATACTTTCGATGTAACAAAAGCCGATAAATTTTTTGATATTTTATTGAAAGATAAGCAGATTAAGTTGAGTGATGACCATAAATTTCCATCTGCAGAACAAAGGAATGGTCGAAAATACTGCAAATTCCATAATATTTATGGACATTGGACTAATAATTGTATACATTTCAGGAACACGATCCAAGATGCGATTGATCAAGGAAGACTGAAGTTTGGAGAAATGTCTATGAAAGTGGACACTAGTCCATTTGAAGCTCAAGTAGGCTTTATCGAATCCCACATGGGCATGACTGAAGATATCCGATTGACAAATTCGACCTTTGTAGGCATGGTTGATGTTACTGAAGACATTGACCCCAGGCATGTCAGAATGGACGTGTCTGAAGAAGACATGAAATTCGACCTGAGTGAGTTCGAGAAAGAATTCGAGAAAGAGATCTATCCTCAACCAGGAGATTCTCTCATCGAGTTTTTAAACAAAAAGAAGGAGAAGAATGAAGATGTATCTATTTGTCCACGATGCAGCGCAGTGTTCGACAAATCAGCCGCTAAAACCTTCAGAGCAAAACAGATGAAGAAAATCGAGAATCAAAATAAAAGGGATAATGACAAAGTAGATCAAGCAAAGACAAGCAACGATTGGAGAAAATCAACAGAAATCGATTGGCTCGTTGCTAGTAGAAATCACGAGATAGTGGGTTAGGAGAGAAATATATCCTTCTCGAGGAGGAAGGCCCCAAAGTAATGATGTCTTCGAAAGACTCTCATATGATGAAGGATCGAACACTCGGATTCCCAACATTCCAAAGGAGATCCCGAGGAAGGCCCCGGAGAAGAGGAGGAAGGATCCCTTACT